TAGTAATTGGCAAATATAAAATCCCATGGTATTTTCAAAGTATGAGCCATTTGCCTTGTGGCTGTCAGTACCACACAATGGCTTGGAGGACCACACAGCTGTTCAAAGAATGGCTACTCTATCTTAACTGAACGCAGCGCAAAGAAAAATCACTTCCCTTGTAAAGAATTGTTTTATCTATCTATAACTCGGTCCCCAGAACATGAGAAAACATGATGGCACAGTTCTTCTCTTCTGACTATGTTGCTGTGGTGCAACTACTGGGTTGAGGTATCTTCCAGGTTACCATGACAAAATAGAGATCAAGAAGGTTTAAAAAAAGTTTGTAGTAAACTTAGAAGTCAACCCGTCTCCAAACATTGATGTTCTTCCCATGAAATGGCAATGGTTCTGCAGAGAAACATTACTTATTAGCTTGTCATCACCAGTTGCTGGCATAAAGTAGTTTACTGCCAAAGGCACCTCAGCAATGAGATGACAAACCATTGCCAGAACATCAATGCGAGGATCCTGTTATGTTAGAAAAGTGCATGGATGCTTTGTGGAAAAAAATGGTCTTCCTCCTGGAGTGAAACTTCAAGATTGCAAAAGTGTAGATAATAGGTACTTTTGATAGTAATTGTTTGGCTACACTGTCAGAAAGCCTGTCTGACTGACTGCTACTGGCTGGAATGACCCTGCTTGGGTCTGAGAGATGCTGGTGCTTGGACCTGGTGGGAGGGACAGCTGCTGCTGCTGTTGATTCTTCCCACCACCTGGTTGCAGTGTGACACCCTCCCAGCTCCATGAGCTGTAGCTTGCTAGAGCCTGGTTTATCTGATGAGAGTTGTTAATGTGCACTGAGATGAAGCAAATGACTTAATCCTGTGTACTTACTGCTCTGCCTACAATTGCAAAAATTCCTGTGGTTTTGTAAAGTAGAAAGTTGAAAATCCTATACTAGTCTTATATTTTAGACTTGGATCCTAGTTTTAAGGTCTAGAGGTTGGTATCTGCCTGCCTGTGAGAACTGATCAAACTCTTGCCCTGACTTTGTAAGTCTTACAGAATTAAGTGGTGCATCCACTAGCAAAAATATCCATTAAAATCTAAATTGCTCTACCTATAGTTGAGGAAACATCAAAATGAAAGTTATGAACATATGATTTTGTTTGGTTATTTTGAGGGGGTTTTTTTGAAACAGTGAAGCATTCTAAATACTAAACGTTGTGCCTGTAATTGTATTAATGACTTTCCCTGAATAATAGAGTAGATTTTTGGAACTGGAGACTGGAGGAGCAAGTCAGCATATCTAAAAGCTACCAGTTATACAAATCAATGCATTTTATTCTGCAGTTAACATTTGTCTTGCAGGGGTTATATTACAGATTCAACACCTGGAACAGTGAGTTCAGTTTCTTAGTGTACACTTTCCAGCCAGTGTCATCACTCATTATATTGTGTATTAATGTTGGCAGGTGAAGTGCAAATTCCACATGACCTATTGAAAATAACATTTACATGTGTGTGTGTTTTCCTTGATCAGCAGTGACACTTTTTTTAAGATGGCCATACACTTTTCATTCTATTATAAATAACAATAACTGATGTATTATGACTCCTTGTAAATCAGTAATGCATTTTGTCTAGATCAAGAAACTTGAAATCTTTCTTTAATTTCTCTTCCTAATGTGGAGGCCTTTTAAACCCAATAACTTGAGCAAATTTAATGGCCAAGCTTTGCAGTCACGGGTTCTGATCTAAGATGTATGCTTTTATGGTAGCTGCATGGAGGACTATTCTGTTGACTTTTTTCCTTTTTTTTTGCTGAGATCACCTGTATGTTGATGTGAAAAATACCAATAAATCTTTAACAAGTGAGGGCTTGAACTGGTGTCCTGATCTAAATATTCCCACTGATAACAGGCACTAGGAAAGGGTTATGCCACTCTGGAGAAGAGAAGACTCGGGGGGGTGGGGAGGGATTTGATAAGTTTTCAAATACCTGAAGGTAATTACAGAGAGGGTAGATATGGGCCTTTCTCTGCAGCTGTAGGGAACAGAACTAGGAGTAACAGCCTTGAGGTGCAGCAGGGGAAACTTAGGTTGGAGATTAGGAGGAACTTTCTGACTGTTAGGGTTGTCAAGCATTGGTACAGGCTACCTAGAGAAGCTGTGGATTCTTCATTCCTAGACATTTTCAGGAGCAGGTTAGACAGACACTTAGCAGGCATGGTTTAGTCACGGATGATCCTGAGGCGGGATTAGATGACCTTGTGATGTCCCTTCCAGTCCTACTTTCCTATGATCCAGTTCCTGCTTAATTTCAGCCTATGTTGTTGTCATTACATGGTGTAGAAATTGGACAGAGAATGCTACAGATATCCCAAATATGTATAGTCCATCTAAACATGAAAGCCATAGTTAGTAAGCTCAATATTGTTCCCTCATTTTTCAATAAGGGCTCCGATGTATAAGACACAAGAACAAAAGCCAGATAAATAATGGGTCCATGGGCATAGAAATGGAAATTACTATAATCAAGGCAGAAACAAGACCCAAAAGAGCTTAATGTGCTCAGGTGGGAGATACCTTTTGAATCTCGCATAGAGATCATCTGAACAGACTCACAAAATTGCTGATTTGAGAAGTAGGAATGGCTAACAAATCTGTCAAATAAAGGTGGTATTATAGGACAGTACAATAGCAAAACCTTTTTTAAGAAGCAGAGGTATCAATTTAGAAAGCTGCACTTGTGTATTAGTTTGATCTCTAGTTTTCAGGGCTTTGGACAAATTTTGAAGGAAGGAATAAGTAGACGGGAGGAAACGAACAAACAAATGTGTTGGTGGTGGGGGCTGTGTGACCGGTTAACCAAGCAAGTTGAAGGACAGGCATACACAATCTTTCAGAAGAAATCATTTTAACAAAGCAGAGATAAAAAAAACATATACTAACAATCAAACATCTACTATAACATTTCAATTTTATTGAAATCGTGGGACTTGGTGGGGATTTACATGTCGTCAGGGGGATCTGCCTGCCACTGGCCACTAGCTCCCTGAGAGGCTGCCACCACTTCCCCCTTCCCTTGCTAGCTTTCCTTAAGAAGAGAACCATTTTTTTCCTAGGCAAGGCAAATACAATACATCTCTTACATTTAGGGGTGTATGTGATACAGAAACTGTTACTGAAAGTCGAGAAGGTGGGGAGTTAGAAGAATTGTACAAGAAGATTCATTACAGGATTGGTCTCTAAGCAGATCTGGAAGCTAACAGTCAGACAAGGGAAAGGGCTACTAAAGCTGAAAGAGTGTTGGCACAAGAACATCTATGTTTTAAATAGCCATGAATAAACTAAAGATTAGAAGGCTTCTTGCCTTCAGAAAGACACATTTCCAGGATGAGAAGTGGGAGATAAAAAACATAACTTTTTTTTTTTTTTAAAGCTCAATGAATTTATGAGAGGCATTTTATATAGTGTGGTTATGTATGGTCATGGGACAAGTCTTGGTGGCACACGGGGTTCTTCCAGTCTGGCGTTACTAAACGCATACAAGAAATACTAAATAACTGCATCAGGGGAGAAATTCTCCCTCCATTTTATAAAGGCTGTCCGTACTGTATCAGGCTTCAGTTCTTTATTTACCAAAAGATGTAAAAGTATCACCAAACATTTATCTTTCTTTGAAGGGGGAGATTTTTCCAAGAGCTTCTTTTAAGAGCAGAGTCTAGTTTTATGGTGTTTACAACAGTATTATTCCTGTTGACATGGATAAAGGTAACAGGTATGTGATGCAAGCAAGCAAAAAAAAAAAAAAAATTTTTTTTTTTTTTGGCTTTTGTAAATGTTGTGAGTGTGGTTGAAGCTCTTGGAGAATTTGGCCCATGGTATACTGCGATAAGCAAGCAAAGGCAACGCTTAATTAGCCAGTTAAGCCAGCTATTTATTCATGTATTTCTCCGAAAGCTTTGTGAGCAGTTCCATTTGTTTTGGTGTACCTACTAAAAAGTTCATGGCATTTGAACTTGAAGTGTGTTGCTGATCAGAGACCAAAGTTTGAAATAAAAATAGCTCTCCAAAATGTCTGTTTCTTCTGCAGAACTCTTAATGCTGCGGGCCAAATACTATACCAGTAAAAATGAGAGCTCAATCCGAAGTAGTTTCTTTTTAACATTAGTGCAACTGAATTGAAAAATAAAATTTGCCTGTTTTTGTCTGTCTGTAGATTCTCCTGCAATATCTGTTTATCTTAGTACCTGTTACCGGAGGGAAAAAGAGTTTAGAAAGGAGGAGGGAGCAGAACCGTTCATCTAGTCCATTTGATCACAGGGCAGAAAGCTAAACGTTCATATTACTCTTTTTTAGAAGTGACATTATATCTAGAATTCATGTGTTCTGTATTCTTGACGCTGGGTTTTAGTTGTAGCCGTGTTGGTCTAAGGATGCAGGCAAGGTTCCTTGAGCAGATGTGTTATCTTTTATTTTTTCCAGCTACTCAGTTGGTCCTAATAAAAGAGATCACATCTACTCAAAGAACCTTGCCATACTCTGGACAGTAACTCTTGGGGAATTTTGTTTTACCTCAAATACTTCCATGTGAAATCTACTTAACTTCCAGGTTTTAAAAAGAATGTTCTTGTCTAATATGCAGCTCAGCAAATCAAGGCCGGGAGCCAAGCATTGTATTCCTTTCTTGGCTTGAACACATACATTAAAGAACACTTAGATTTTTTGTAACTGGCAGACACCTCTGTTCATGATGGAAAAACCCCAAATGGAATCAGTTTCTACGTTGCCTTCACAATGTCCACAGGCATAGTAGATAGTACATGCTTATTTTTCTTTACTACAGTAAATAAATTAACTTTTGAAAACCCAAGGAACCAATCTGTTGTATAAGAAGGTGTAAAGTGAAAAGATTTTGATCTTTAAATCAAGTGTGCAGTATTATAGGTATGTAGTTTATGACATTTTAAGTTACTTCTGACTTAAGTATTTATGTACTGTCTTTCTTACAGGTCTTCACAAAAAGATGGGGTGCCAGGGACTTACCAATTTTGGGAACCAGCTGCTTCGCCGGAAAGTTGTGGATTGTACCAGGGAAGAGAGCAGGCTCTCGCGATGCCTCAATACCTTTGATTTGGTTGCTCTGGGTGTAGGTAGTACACTTGGGGCAGGTGTCTATGTCCTGGCTGGAGCTGTGGCACGTGAAAATGCAGGACCTGCGATTGTCATCTCCTTCTTGATTGCTGCATTGGCATCTGTATTGGCTGGACTGTGTTATGGAGAATTTGGTGCTAGAGTTCCAAGGACTGGATCTGCTTATCTCTATAGCTATGTGACTGTTGGTGAACTATGGGCATTCATCACTGGGTGGAATTTAATTCTTTCTTATGTCATTGGTAAGTATGTAGGGGCATGCTGAAAAACTAGCGTTAATCCAGAATGTCTGCCTGGTGTTGATGATATTGTACTGTCATATCATTGTAAAATATAAATTACCTAATTCTTTGTACCAGTAAAAGTTTCCATTGCAGATTTCAAAGCTCAGTAAAGGAATTCATTAATAAAGCTTGTTGGCAGTGGTGGCAATCTTGCATGGTCAAGAGCGATCACTCCTGTGGGTCAAGTAAAGGATAGTATATGAGTCAGTTGATGGCTAAGAAGGCCGATCCTAGAGCCACGGACTCTCTAGCAGATGCCACAGGTGGTGATTGAAGAGAGGGTCAGACCACAGATTTCTTGAGTTTGTTTCGTTTTGTTTGTTTGTTTCCTTTCCTTCTGTTACCCTCATTTTTTGCCTCCAGGGTAAGACAGTTTTCCTCAAAGTATGCGTACCTTCTCTCACAAGGCATTGCCATGTGGCCCTATCCTGGGTTAATTTTTCCAAATTTGTAATGTCAATGCCGCACTTAATGCTTGCCTTGGGTGTCCTTGAAGCGTTTCTTCTGGCCCCTGCCTGTCCTTTATCCTTGTAAATAAAGATGTTGGGGGTATAGCAGTTGTTTTGGTAAATGTATATCAGGCATGCACATGCAGTGCCCTGTCCACCACAGCTAATGTTGAATAATCAACACTTCCATACTGGTGGTGTTAGTGTCAGTGAGGATACTGGCATTTGTGATGATTGCTTTATGTTAAGGATTTCTGAAGGTAGTGCTGGTGATGGCATTCCAGGCTTTTCAGGTAGTCCTTGTAAGTCACCCAAGCTTCACGGCCGTAGAGAAGAGTTGGGATTATTGAGTAGGAGCTTTGTTTGAGTCCTGATGTTATGATCATTGAACACACGATGATTCAGTCTTCTGAAGGCAGAGCTGGTACATTGGATCCTATACTGGATCTCCTCATTGTTGGTGGCCTTCTCTGAGAGAAGGCTCTGAAGTACGCAAAGCATTTAAAATTCTCCAGCTCCTGTCCATCAATGAAGATCTTCACTTAGGGAGTTGATTGGCCTAGAGCAGGCTGGTGAAGCACCTTTTGTCTTCTCTATGTTAAGAGTCAGTCCCAGGTACTGGTATGCTTGAGAAAAGCAGTTAAGGGCCATTTGTAGGTCCTTCTCCATACGTGCAACAACAGCATAATCATCAGCATACTGAAGTTTCACAATCGAGGCCAATGTAACTTTGCTTTTGGCACAGAGGTGGGAGAGAGTGAAAAGATTCCCATCCTTCCTGTACTCAATGCCTGTGCCATTTGGTAGACAGTCACAGATGAGCATCTTGATGACTGCAAGGAAGATAGGAAGAACTGGTGCAGTCACAGACCTGCTGGATGCCACTTTTAATAGCAAAGGGCTCTGTAGTAGAGCCATTACATAGGATGGAGGTATTCACCTGGTCATGAAGGAGTCCTAGGATGATGATAAATTTCCCTGGGCAGCCAAACTTTGATAAGATCTTCTACAGAGCCTCATGGTTAACAGAGTTGAAGGGTTTGGTCAAATCAGTAAAAGCCATATACAGTTCCTCGTGGTGTTCTTGGCATTTTTCATGCATCTGCCAGGCTGCAAAAATCATGTCCATGGTGCCTCTTGATGTTCTGAAGCTACATCGAGTTGGGAAGGATTTGCTTGGCAAGAGGGAGCAGTTGGTTTAGTAGAATTTGAGTGAGGATTTTCCCAGTGTTGGAGAGGAGGGCAGTACCTCAGTAGTTTCACAGTCAGCCTTCTCTCCCTTTTTTTTAAAAGGTGACAATATTGACATTCCTTAGGT